ATGGTGACGACAACGGCCAGGCGCGCTCACCTGCGGCCAGAGCGTCCACTAGGAAGCTAGGAAGGTTGAATGGTGAGGCGACTCCAAACAATTTGAGCTCACTTGTGACTTCCCAGATCATCCATTCGTTGTTTTGGAGTTGCCTCACTTCGTCACCTATAGGGGTTTGCCTCAACACCACGACGACACCACAGGCACACATGCCCATGGCCTCGCGTCGTCTTCGTTGTGCGACTAAGGACCGGATTCTTTGGAAATTCGATGTGGCACGCTGCCCATGGCCTTGGCACCTGCCCATGGCCAACAAAAGGGAGCACAACAAAGAAACAGGAGAAAAGGGTCACCATGACCCGATTGGAGCGCCCCATCATGGCCGAGTTTGTTCGTGTGCTGACCCGCTGGGAGACCTTTGATCGGTTTGAAGTCTGCATCCAAATTGTTGAAGTGACTATTTTTGCATCTGTTTGCAAGTTGCAACATGTTGTAACTATATAAACAAATTTCAGGTTGGGGGGTCGGGGCAAATTGCGGGCAAGACTTGAAAGCATGTCCCTTTCAAGGATGCATGTCTATGTTGAATTGATGGACCTTGTTTATCCTTTTTTAATGTTCCTGCTTGGTAGCACACCGCATCACAATGATACATGCCAGTCAGCCACGGGCTCCTTCAGCGAGCCCTCCGAGTTCAACCGAGCTTTTCTCAGCGCTGGTCTCTCCGTGGTGAAACACCACCCATTTGGACGGTCACGTCGCCATGGAGACCTATGAGACGCTGCTGAAGTCGCAGCTGAAGCAGCTGGAAGAGGCGAGTACGACCCGCGTGGGGAGAGAAGCAGGGCAGAGGCGCATGGTGGGTAGCTCATGGCGGAGGCTCCTTTTCACTCTAAATATTCTCAAGCGTTTTTCCATGTTCGTTTGGGACCCAGGCGCGTCTCAATGCGCAAAACGAGGTGTCCAAGACGTGATAGATGTTTGTTCCGCTGGCAGAAGATGGGTCTTTGGACCTTTTAGAGGTGAGGGTGTGATCATTTCCCTTGAGATGTATATAGTCAGTGCTGCTTGGCCCATCGTTTCTCATCCATATCATATGCTGATGGAATATGACTTGTAGCAACTCGCGGACTGCCTGGTCATTGTGATGCTGCGATCCCAAAAGACGACTGGTGACACCGGGTCTTTCCACCCGAATCCCTGCGCCAGGTCATTGCACCATGAAATGTTAGGAGTTGGAGTCGAAGCCGCCCTCCGAGTGGTCGTGCGCCAGACTCCGAAGCAGGTTCCGAGGCGCAGGTCCGGGTTTCGTCCTTCGAATGGCGCCGTGTGTCCCCCCGATCAAAACCCGTTAGAGGTCCTGTTGCGGCGGCATGACTACGAGTTTCAAGCGCTCAAGCAGCAGTACCTGCGCGGAGTCCAACAAGGCCCCGAACGAGAGACGGACGAAGAGACCGGACACGCTTCCACACACCCGATGAGACTGGGCCGGTTTCTTCTGGTCCACCGGGCTTTTGGAGGGCGGAGGGCGGCAAAGGTTTTTCGCGCGAAACTCTCGGACAGTCGCCGACACAAAGGGCTCAGCACAGCAGAGCCGCCTCGCTCCAAGGTATAAAGTATTTGTTAATGAATTTGAAAGAGGCGTTCCCCAGCACACTCGTTGGCGGGTGTTCGGATGAGACTGAACTCCACCAGAAGGGCTCGATTTGGCTCCGCCATCACAAATTCCACTGCCAGGAAAAAAAATCGAGCGTTTCAGGATGTTTCAGGCCGTGTTTAAGTGGAAACGTTTCAGAGGTGCAATTCAGCGTAGAATCTGAGAAAATCCTTCCTCATCCTGCGGAGCTCCAGGCTTTTCAGACTTTTACAACGACGAGATTCCCCAGGAACTTCCGGACATGGAGCAGACCAAAGCGGTGCAGAGGCAAGGCCCGGCACCCGCAGCTTGGTGCGCTTGAGCACCGCGTCCAGCTGCAACAGCCTTGTAGCATTGAGTAGCTATACCTAGAACATCCTAGAACCCATTTGACCTCTGTTTTAATAGGACAAGACCATGTTTTGGCTCCAAAACAGGGGTCAATCAGGTTCTAGGTATAGCTATGTGCTCCGTAAGTAGTAGTAAGGCCAGGAGCCCCGTGCCTCGTCGCGATGCCGCTCCGTGCCTCGTCGCGATGCCGTCCTCGTTCCGGGTGGGTCGTTCGAACTGGTGGGCGGTTCCGTTTCGAGTACGAGGAATGACGGCTCAAGGATTTGTGGAAGCTGGAGGTTTTTCTGGTGCTTCCTCTCAAGTCTAGTTGAAACTATATATAATATTGCTCTTTGTGTTGTGACTTTTTGATGACATCTACTGTAGTGGGTCGCTTTGATGTAGGTGGTTCCACTTCCGCATCATTACACAGATCAATGGAGTGATATCAAGGGCTTCGTGATCATAGGGCAACGCCGTGTCCGGCTGTGCAACCTGACTCTTCACTTATGATGTATCTTTGGCTGAGTCAACCGGTTCGACTACAACCCGGAAACAAGAAACCTGGGTGCTCTAAGGTATTAAGGCGATGTTCTTTGGTGCTGTGTGACTGCTTTCCTGCACCCTCTTCCATGCTGTCCCCAAATCGTGACCATGCGCTGGAGGTGGGAAAAATTATCTTGCAAGCTTATGGCTCGGCAAGGAGGCAGCTTTGAAACGCAACTTGCCAAGCACACCATTTGAGCTTTCCTGGAGGATATCATGCTTGTGGGCCCAAACCGCAGCGGAGTCTGAAGGAAGGGATTGAATAGGGATTTATACTTCTTCCACTTCCACGATTATTTCAGGGACTGCAATTTATGGTTTGTTCATTGGCAAGGTCTCCTCACTGTGGGGACATGAAAGATAAATGCAATCCAGAAGGACCAGGAAGGGTCTTCAACCAAAACTTGCCTTCAGCCACACCTGTTCTCTCACCAGGGTCTTTTGCCCAACCTCCCAACACTTCGCAAGCAGACGTGGGTTCTACAACGCCAAACAGATCGCACTTTTCTGCAGAAAAGATGCCGAAAGGCAACGTTTGGAATGTTGAAAACCATTTGTGTAAAGAAAGTGCGTATATATATAATTAGAGGAGCGCAGATAGTCACCAACATGTGTGCACACATGTTTATTTTTGCATCATGTGAAAGATAATTTATTTTTATGTGGGAGTATGGAATGGATTGGTATATCATTATCACACCGGGTGCAAACATCACTGACCTGTACCGACCTGTACCTTGCATCCAGTTGCCTGGGGTTTGTCTTTGCGTAACGGCATACACATCGACACATACGGATCCGCATCTCTGGGGTTTGTCTAACACCGCAGACACTCAGACACATCTCCGCGATGTATTTTACGGTGGTTTCAGAGTAGTTTGCACTGGCACCTCAAGATGTCTTAGACAGATGAGGGTCCATATAAACCACCACAAAAACACCTTAGGGGTAACTTGTGGTCCAATTGGTCCTCTCAATCCCCTGTACCCTAAACTTCCAAAGTCTTGGAACATCTAAGTCTTCGAGCAAAGACTTAAACTGGGAATGAAAGACTTAACTGAGTCACTGTATTTGACCATTCCTGGAACATATATGTCATGTTGAAGTGATCTGACATGTTTTCGCATGTGCATGTACATAGTCTCAAATTGTCAAGCCGTTGTCCAATCCTTTCACCGGGCACAAAGCCAATCTGTTCATCCTTTGTGTGGATTTTTTTCGTGGACAGTGCTGTGTAAAACATGTTTCAAGTGGATCCTCAGAGGTGGTGGTGTCCACGAACTTTTTGAGTCTTTCCACTACTTTTTAAAGTCATTCCATGCCGTTTTCAAGTCGTTCCACGGTTTGTCCATGGTCAGTCCACTGTTCATTTGGTCCGAATGGGCAAGAAGATCCGCACGCGTCACGGATACAAACATGCGATCAGATCAGTATAAATCCAGTCTGTGAAGTAGCAATTAAACATAATGTGTTGAACTTATTTTACCGTAATTATGTTCCATGCACTGTTGATTCCTGGCTTTCAGACCCCGTGCTACCATCCAAAGGGGATC